CTTAGCATAAGTCCCCTGGGTCCGCATATGCGAGAGAAGCGCCGCACCTGCGGATGCGCTCCTGCGACCAAGGAACCGCACCTGCGACCCTCATCGCTCCTGCGCACAGACCAATCGCAGAAGCGAGGCCGCTTCTGCGCAATCAGCTCCGCACTTGCGAACCCAGCCTGGGCTGCCAAATCCCGCATCTGCGCTCCTTCATCTGCACATGCGAGTCCGCACCTGCGGTCTCCCCACCGCAAGTGTGAAAACACGAGAAACCCTAAACTTCAGCAAATACACAAGTCCAATTTTTTTATCCAATAAGCATCTGAAATACACCCGAGGCCCCCCGGACCTCAACCAAACATACCAACAAGTCCTAAAATACCATACGAACTTAGTCGAGCCCTCAAATCACATCAAACAACGCTAAAAATACAAATTGCACATTGATTCAAGCCTAATGAACTTCAAAATTTCAAACTTCTACATGTGATGCCGAAACCTATCAAATCAAGTCCGATTGACCTCAAATTTTGCACACAAGTCATAATTGACATTATGAACCTATTCCAACTTCAGGAATCAAATTTCGACCCCGATATCAAAAAGTCAACCCCCCGGTCAAACTTCCAACTTAGAATTTCTATTTTAGCCATTTCAAGCCTAATTTAACTACGGATTTTCAAAATATTTTTCGGACATACTCCTAAATCCGAAATTACCATACGAAACTATTGACATCATCAAAATTTTATTTCGGAGTCGATTTCTCATAAGTCAAAACTCCGGTCAACTCATTTAAGTTTCAAAAATGAGAATTGTTTTTTTAATTAAATTCTGAATCTTTCGAAAACCAAACTCGACCACACCTGCGGGTCATAATACATATTACGAAGTTGCTCGAGACCTTTAGTCGCTGAACGGTGCGTAAATTCTTAAAACGACAAGTCGGGTCATTACGCATGTGACACTAGGTCTTGAAAATTATGCTAGTAGACACTTGATGATTTTTGAGTATTTGCTTCACCTCATTTGTTCTTAAAATTGTTTACTCCTTATTTTATTAAATTTCTCACTTTTTATTTATTTAATACTTAAAAAATAACTATTTCTAAATTGTTAAAAGAAACAATCACATGGTTAGTTCATTGGTGGCTTGCCTAGCGGTAACGTTAGGCGCCATCACGGTCTATAGGAGAAATTGAATCGTGACAATAATAGATTTTGCTCTATTTTCTTATTTCTTTCATGGCAAATGCTCTTATTATATAAAGCAACTTGTGTACCTTAAGAGTTTTATCAACTTGGCAAATAAGTTTACTTATATAATAATTTTGAAACAAAATTGAATTGATTTTTTTGTTGATTTATTAATTCAAAGACTTAATTATGTGTTGATATTTCATGCTTTTATGATAGTATAGAAGATATAAATTATTTTCGAACTTTTTTCTTACGCGAGCATAATATTATTCTCTTTATACTGATGTAATATTTAAAACTATATTTAATAATTAGAATAAATATTTAATTAGGTACAAAGCATCTTGCTTTAGTAGTAACAGTATATAGAAACATCTTGTTAGAATTATAGGCTCCCTAAAAAGAAGAATCAATGTGAACATATTTCTATGAAAATTACCGTGAGGATATATAAGGAAAAGAAACGTAATACTCTTACTTCTCTTAAATAATATCTATTTTAAAGTCCTTAATATTAGAATTTCTTAATTCAATAAGGAAAAACCTAGTAATCAAAATTTTAGTTTCTTTTAAAGTCCTAAAGATTAGGATAATAATTAAACGAATATTTTGTCTAGTGTGAACTCTATTTTAAAAAGGATAAAAAAAGTGAACGATATTTCGCTAAGGGCTTTCGTAATTTTAATATGGTACTAGTCTTAGGGTACGCGCTTCGTGAGTATATCCTATATCAATAAAATATAGTATTTCAAAAAATTTAAAAAATAATAAACAATGTGTTTGACTTTTAAAATAAAAATTAACAAAAAATATATAAATTCTTGGAAATGATGACTACTAAATATTTTATTTAGCTGGCTCAATGAAGAAAGAATTCCTTTCATAAGAGTTCTTAAATGCCTTATTGTAGTTTCTTAGAAATTCTATAGAAATATCTTATAAAAGAATATTGTTATTTCTATGACCTAATACGAAAATAAACAAAAAAATATAATTACTATTATCAACAAAAAATTGTCAAATAAAATAAATTAAAAAATAAATTTCGCTGCTATTTTAGGAATGAAGAGGTTGGTGTTATGCTCATAGAAAAAATTGATAAGGGACAATGTAATGTCTAAATGACTTATATTGTTTTACAGCAAATAATTTAATATAGAACATAAAGGAGTTGTCATTTGTAAAATAATAATAGTATTATATTATTTCCTCCTTATTGCTTCAAGTTTGTATTTTTACGAATTTGACTCTTAATACTATTATAACCAATTTTGTCATATGCTAATGTTATTCTTATCAAAACAAATTTATGTATCCTATAACATCTGTCAGATTGAAAATTATTTTACTTATATGATGAATATGAAAAATAATTAAATTGATTTTTTTAATTAGTTAATACAAAGGCTTAATTATTTATTCGCGACATTAAAAGAAATAATCATTGTTTGTTGATTTAAATTCTTCATATTAGCTCATCCAAATTTAAATAATTAATTATAATTATACTATTATCTAAATTATATTATCAAAGAGTTAAAAAATTAATTTGATATTTCATTTTTTGGATTTTTGTGTTTGTAAAATCATTAATGTACTTGACTCTTGTCAACCACTTAAATACTTTGTTAGTAATTTGTCCAATATTGATCGGTGCTTTCAAATATTATGTAATAATAATAATTATTATTATTATTATTATTATTATTATTATTATTATTATTGCTATTATTTTTTTATTATTAAAAAAATTAGGACGAAAGAATGAAAATTCATGCACACGTCTAGTCTTGGATAGTCTAATTAGGATTTTAAAAAAAAGTTAAAAATATAAATTCCTTAGGTGAATGAAGTTCCTACATATTAGGGACTTTGCATAATTTCAAATAAGGAATGTTTTAATAACCAATATTGTAGTTGAACAACCAGCTAAACAACTTGAAAGCTCGCCGAACAACCACAAATACTTCAACGGAGAAATGATTTACAAAAGAAATCATCCTTTATTGAACAGTACTGGGATGAAAAAAGAAAGTAGAAAGCAGAGGACATGATAGAGCTTAATAGATAGAAAGCATCCTTTGTGGCATTTTGGGTTTAGACACAAGGGATAACCGAGCAAATGTCATTGCAACAAAAGAAAATGCAACCAGGGCAGCCTTCCGTCATTCTTCTATTAATTGAGCGAGCAAAATCCCTGACTGGATCTAGTTTCCTTCCAGCATCAATGAATGAAGATTCATTTTCTGTGTTACTGTAACTCTTCAAATCAGATGAAGATTCACACAGCTGGTTGCAGCAAAACGAAACAATAATAATGATGGTAATAACTTTGGATTTAATTGCCATAGCCAGAATTCAAGTACGACGCTTTGGCCTAATCATACAAGTTTATATACAATTGCTTGTGAATTTTTTCTTATTATCTTAATGTTTTTGGGTGATCACTAAGTCATAGTTGTAATGCTTTAGTAGGATAGTTGTTTTGGCATGTGCAGTTTCCAAAACTTTCAGCCATTGTCATGTGCAAGTTACTAAAGATGCACTGGAGGATGTCCTACCGGAGAGGAACTCGATCCGAAAATAAGGATCCAAAATAGATAACAACTTACCTGCATTCCGTGTTCGCAGGAAACAATACTATTTTAGTATGGTTAAAGTCATAAATTAAAATGAGAATGTGTTTTTATTAACTATGGTATAATGATAAGATTATATATTAAGACACGTTACACATAGTGCGGATAAGTTTTTACCATCCAAACCCCTCTATTGTGGTCCTGACATGTGGAGGACTTTTGGCAGAAAAATAGTTAGTCATGACCAAAGGCATATATGTGCAGTTTCATGAAATCCTCTACATAGAAGTCCAGAATTGTCAACAAACCAGCCACTTCGAAATTATCTCTTGTAGTAAGTTGCTCATAGCTTTGAACAGTTGCAGCTCAAATATACGGGGAAATGGAAAAATTCTATCACCTAGAGCTAAATGAATCCTTAGTTGCTGGATCTACGTCTCTTCTTTGAAGAGAATAAAATTTGAAAAAATTGTTTTACTACAACTTTGGTTTCGCCATTGTTAAGACCTTTCGTTCTATATTAGCAGTAAGTAAATATTTTTGACTGTGGTGGAGTAACACGGTTTCTCTTTTTAATCAACAATATAACTAGGGTGACTAATTCACAAAGAAGAGATATAAAAACAATGACGGACCTTAAGCTGTTAATAAATCACAAAACAGGGGCCTATGGGCTATGAAGCAGTAGAATCAGGCATAGAAGGGAGCATTAGTACCTTGCTTGGTAAATCCAGTCAAAGTTTCCTTTATGTTAAAATCACTTCATATTATACTTTTTTTTGTAACAAAATCTTCAAAACAACTAACGGTTAAAAACTGAAGGCAGAAGGAAAGTAGGTAAATGATCATGGTACCAATTTTTTAAGCAGAAACAGGAATTGCTTTTGCTGGAGAAACAACAAAAGCCAGATCATTAGAAAGATGTGAAAATGGATGAAATGGGCTCTCCAATGAGTTAATGGGGATGGACTCATACATGGAAAGCATAACCATGGGAGTCTCAGCATTAGCCTGGCGAATACAGCCTGACCATTTAATGGGAACATCACTGATAACATTAGTTTTACAAGTTGGCAACCAGGTAAGACCAAGCACAAATTGGTTTCCTCACTCAACAAGGGATAGAAGTGTTTCTTGCAAAGAAAGAAATACCTTGATAGCTCACCTTAACAGATTGATCACTTTTGACCAGAGTAAATTTCACGAGTGTAACACGTATGTTAGGCAATAAAATAAACCAACCTTCAACTTTTACAAAAAAACATTGAGGGCAAAGAAGACAAGACACTCTGGTTTTGTTATAAGCACGGGAGACTAGGTCCTGATTCGTAAGCCAGACATGCTTATCGTCTGAATAATACACGCCTATTACACAATGGTGAAACATCAATCCACAAACTTAAAATTCACAATTGTACCATAGCTCTTCTCAAGGCATGTCGATATTTGGATTCATTGCTGGTCGGGGTCATGGAAGGATAGGAAGCTCAACTTTGCTGAATGAGAAAAAGCTCACACGCCCATGCTCAACCAGACAGAATTTCAAGGGAATACCATGAGAATGTCTCTCAAGATCTTCAATCTCTTCTTTGGAAGGTGGATACTCACTGCACAAGAAAATACATTACTCATAAAATAGAGCTACATCGATAATTAATGTGGATCGACAAGTCAGGAGAGAGAGTGGAGGAAGGGAATTAGATAGGCTAGGAATGAGGGATAAAGAGGAAAATATTAAAACAACTACTTATGCCAGAATATCATCCAATCTGGTGATCCATCTTATTCTTAAACATTCAGCATTGCTTACTAGTATATCTCAAATCCCTGTACATAATAATCAGCTAAAATATAGGAGGCAAAGATTCAGAAAATTTTAGTAGGCACTAGCACCATAATACAATGAACCGCATTAACAAGGTATCCCACCTCGCAAGACAAAGTACAAAACATGGATCACCAGGTGCAGACTTTCGGAATCTACTATTAGGAGGGTAAACATCAAAAACCATTCTCAATCCACCAATTTGCATATTACTAAACATTTCACTGATGAGAATGCTGTCTCTTGATTCTTTATATCCAATCTCAGCAGTCTCCAGCAGGTCTTGGTTAGAAATACAATTTACACTTGACCTTCTAACTGACCAAGGAATACCATGGCGCCCGACTATATAACCAAGAGATTTCAGGTGCTTATAGACTTCAAAATATTCCAAGGAACATCCACTTTTTCCTTCTGCAACCCTATTATATATATGTTCCAGAGATAGGGGTGCGTCATTGTTACTGAAGAGATGTAGAGCCCCAACTTCCGCCAGATATCTACATCACAAAAAAAAAAAAAAAAAAAAAAAAAAGGTATCATTCTTTAAACACACTGGCAATTGCAGAAGATAATTCTCAAATGAAACCATATTTTTTTCATATTAACTCCTAATACAAATAAGATTGTAAGAGACAAAACTCCCCTGTAATAGGACACTTGCTATATGTATAATTTTATCTATTGGCTTCTACTCTCTTCTACATACAGACTACTATTTCTAATATGTAGAAGCAGTAGACAGGTGTGCAACTAAAATAAACAAGCATAACTTAGAGATGTATAATGAAAAAATATGACCTAAGAGTATCAGCAATCTTCTTACCAAAATTCACTTACAGAACCAACAATGAGAAAAGAATCAACGAAAAGCGTGTCAATGTATTAAACGAACTACACAATTTTCAACTTTTGCAGCCTTTAAAAACAAGAGCAGCCATACCTCTTTTGAGGTTTGTTAAAGATATATCACCGAAAAATATTTTCTTTTTTCTGAAAAGAAAAAAAATGCCAAACAGATCTAAAATTTGAATTCTGATCAGACAATAGACATGCTACATATGCTGAAAACAGAGTATTTTTCTCCTGTTCTTATTTGGACGTGGCTTATTACCAAATAATGCCTGTACTAGAAGTCAGTATTTAACTCTTCAACTAATAGGAGATAACAAAAGTTAATCTTTATATTTAGTATATATTAATAATATAAGAGAATCTTCATCACCTACAACGTCTCTTCAATGAAGCAATATATCTTGCCATTACGAACTATTCCAGTAGTTGTCCACAATCCACCCTTCCTCTCCACGACCTCAGCCATTCCTAAGTGGTCAAGCCACCGTGATCTTGAAATATCTTTCCTGAAGCAAAAAATTGCATGTATGTTATTTGTGAAATAATTTTTTAATAATAAAGATAAAATTCCCAACAGAAGAGGTGAAACCTGAACTGCAAATTGGGTATATCAGTGGATGCATATGCACAGCAATGGTCATCATCATCAAGATCCTCCCCATAGCCTTCAGAATCACTTGTTCCTTCTGAAAAACTTCTCCACTTATCAGTTTCCATAAACGGATTGAATTGCAAATACCTATATCCTACCAAAAAATTCAAAAATCAGCACAAATTACGACCATCTTATAAAGTACAAACACTAATACTCCCTCTGTTCCAATTTTTGTAACGATGTTTGTCCATGCATGAAGTTTAACCCCAAAAAAAGAGACTTTTGAAACTTGGAGTCTAAATATAGAAAGGTGCATGTCACGACCCAATTTCATCTATAGGTCGTGATGGCGTCCAATACTACAGCTAGGCAAGCCAACTAGTGATTTAAACACATATTCAACTCTTTAAAAATTAACCGAGTAATTAAACTCCTACAACTTGCAAGAATTAGGACAATATAAAAAGATCTGGTAAATTAGAAAAAAATACACGAACAGAATTAAATCCAAAAATTCTACTAGTGTGTGTGTGTCAAGACCTGGTGTCACAAGTGTATGAGCATCTAGTAGATTACACAAAAATTTCAAATACTGTCTGAAATATAATAGACAGATAAAATTTCAAGAAAAGGCACTAGTTGCTGCAGAACGACTCAGAAAGGCAGCTCACCACTAAACCTCTGGATAACGTGAATGCGCGTCGATAGGTCCTCCAACTATATCACCTGACTCAGGTCATGCACAAAAAAGTGCAGCAAGTGTAGCATGAGTACGTAAACAACGTGTACCCAGTAAGTATCAAGCCTAATCTCGAAGAGGTAGTGACGAGAGGTCGACTTTGACACTCACTAAGGGTCAAATATAATAAATAAAATAACAATAGAAATATTTAAATCAATATGATTTATAGAATTTACAATAATTTTCCTTAACCAGCAGAAATAATTAAATTCCTTCAAATACGACAATTCCCCATTTATGTAACTTCACAAGCTGCAATTAAAAAAAAAATTTGATTTGCACCGGGTGTCCGAGTCTCTTTGAGCCCCGACTAATCCCAGAGGTGCACAGGCCCTCGGCAAGGAGTTTCCCGCAAGTGCACCACGGTTAATTCAGGTTTTTATCCAGTCCGATGGCCCTCAGAAATTGTTTGCACCCAGTAGGTTTCGAACTTGAGACCTTGAAAGGGAGCAAACCCCAAGGCTCAAGTCAATTGCCACCAGGCCAACCCCTGAGGATTTTGCTGCAATTAAAATATCAAGGTATCGTGTAATTATTATTATTAGGCACGATTTCTGTCGAGGTCGTACGACCCGATCCAGAGTGTTGTGTACACTGCCGAGGGACGT